CACACACACACACACACACACACACACACACACACACACATACACACACACACACACACACACACACATGCACACACGTACACACACCTGTTGTCTACACCTGTTGTCTATTGGTGGGTGCGGCACCAGCCGGGGGCTAGGTTCCACTTGCACGAATCAAGAGATAGAGACCGTAGATAGCCAAGATCAACGGCCGAAATCTCCTAATTTGCGCAAGTGGGACCTTGCCCCGGGACCGCCCCCCCACACTCTTCGAGTTGTGTATAGCGAACATAGCAAAACGTAGGCACACCATAATCACGACCTCACCCTTTCCCCAACCGCATCAACAAACGAACTACGGTCTGCGCACCCGTGCCCTCACGGTAAGTCAATATTCGGACTACGGTGCTCATTTCCACACTTCATGGGTTTCCCAACTGGGCTGAGCTACTACCGGTAGGCCCGTTTGTGCGTTTCTGAAGACGTTTTTGTGGCACAATTATGGGCCCATTGCGTACAAAAAAAGAGAACAACGCTGTCCTCTCCACATCCACAGGGCTTGCCTTTCTTTCTTTCTTCTTCTCTTATTAGGTGCATACTGGTACTTTTTCCGAATGAATTACGCCGTAATTGAGGTCACATACGACAGACATCCAGCAGGACAGGAAAGTCTGTGAGTATGCCCTGACACGTTGTCGTTGGGAACAGAGTATATTTCTACCCATATAACAGCTATCTGGAACGACACGTAGGTCTAATTGAAAAACCAGGTCTGATCAACGGAAACGGAACGTTTGGCATCGACCACCGCCAAGACCATCGTCAGTCATTGCATCGTTCAGTAGGTCCAACTAAACGCCATCCTCTCTCCTTGGTTTTCCGTACTCTTCCGCGCGCGCTCCACTCTCTGTGTGCGCACATTTGTGCTGCTGTGCATTCGTGTGCATGCACAAGCGCTCTCTGTGTGCTTAGGCGCATGCGTGTGGGTGGTGGTGAGCGCGTGTCGCTCTGTGCCTGAGCAAACACGGTGTGCGTGTGTGTCACACACACACACACACACACACACACACACACACACACACACACACACACACACACACACAGAGAGAGAGAGAGAGAGAGAGAGAGAGAGAG